TCTCTATATTCAAGATATGTTGAGGGCAATGACGAATGATTTTTTCCTTTTAGTGCCTAAATCTTCAACATGCCTCGAAATTCATGAGTTATCCAATCCTATGGACGTCGGGTGTGAGATTCTTGTGATCATCCTATCTTTTCTACTTGGCTCTCATGTCAGTCAATGGTGACATTAGTCAACAAAGATCCAAATGGAAATTTTTCCACAAAAAAAAAAAGATCCAAATGGAAATAGCAATCTTTGCAGCCCCACTTCCTTTTCCTTCCTTCTCATTTTTCCAGGATAGATGGTTGGAGACTTCTAAGTCAAATAATTCATAAATATAATGGTCTTGCTATATTCCTCAAAATTAAGCCACCACACCCATTCAAGTTTTTCAAAAAAAAAAAAAAAATGAAAAATTTGCTGCACTTCTTCCTGTTCAAGATCGACATATTTGCGATTAAATTTTCGAAGTACGGAATTTGACACGTAAAACACAACCCAAAAACAGAATTAAACAAAATTGGCGACGCAAGCGACATTGAATCAATATAGCTTTCATTCGACTCTGTTTTCTCTTTGGCTTTGGTTCTTAGCTTTCTTTCTTTCGTGGTTCCTCCTTTTGTCTGTATTCTTCTGTTTGTTTGTTATCATGAACGTTTACTCTGTTTTAGCTTTGATTTTTCCGGATTAAGACTTCGTAGTCGTTGATACAACGTAAAGCCGCCACCGCATCAATACTAGCTAAGCGGGGAAATTTCTTCGTATTTCGGTGACTTACAGCATGTTGAATCTCCACTTCTTTCTAGATTAGCAGTGAGCCTTTGGCATCTATGAAGAGCTTTACATAATGCTATCTAAACTATTTAAGAAACAAAATTCTTGCACTAGGAATTGTACTCCCCGTGTATCTGAATCAGTCTCTCTCTTCACGCGACAATTAGGAGCGGCGTACATGTAAGTTTTAGCCCGGATGTAGGGCGGAAATGTCACCCTCTCTTCTCCGCTTGCCTACTTGTTTCAGCACCTTAATCAATAGTATGTCGACATCGAATAAGGACCCTACTTGTTGCAGATTGTAAACCCCACTAGGAAATTGGGGAAGGACTTCGACGTCGACAAGTCAAGCAAGCCACAAGTCTCGTAGAAACCTTCCCCACAAAGTTAATACAGTAGCAATCTCATTCTTCCACAATATCTGTCTCAATCTAACTATACACATTAATGCATGCGAATTAGTAGCCAATGAAAAAAGTAAAATTACGAAAAACAAAAAGGAAATCTATGCACAAATGAGTACGAACGTTGATGTTTCCTCCGTGACGACTGCTGAATATATTCCTAATACCCTGAGCCTAAGCTCTTTCCTACATTTTCTGTCATATATCAGCAAGAGCTTCCGATGAAAATTCCTCTGTTTTCATGGCTTTTTTTAATACCCTTTTACTACTTTTCCATCAGCATCAACGTATTTCTCGTCTACGGCCAATGTCCCGGCGATCAGCAATCTTTGCTGCTACAATTGAAGAACAACCTCACATTTGACACTGCAACATCTAAGAAACTTGTCAAGTGGAACAAAGGCTCGGATCACTGCTCTTGGGAAGGAGTGTCCTGCAAAAAGGGTTGTGTTTCGAGTCTGGACTTGAGCAGCGAGGAATTTACTGGTGGACTTGATAATTCGAGTTCTCTTTTCGGTCTCAAGTCAATCGAGTACCTGAATTTGGCTTACAACTTCTTCAACTACACTCAGATTCCATCGGAGTTCAAGCAGCTAACCGGTTTGAGTAATCTGAACTTGTCAAATGCTGGCTTTGCGGGGCAGGTTCCGATTGAGATTTCGCACCTGACGAGGTTGGTAACTCTTGATTTGTCTACCTTTCATTTCCCCGGGACTCCTTCGTTGAAACTTGAGAATCCAAGATTAGATGTGCTGCTTAGGAACTTTTCTGAGCTTGTTGAACTTTATCTCGATGGTGTGAATATATCAGCACAGGGGACTGAGTGGTGCCAAGCGATATCATCTTCATTGCCAAACTTGAGGGTATTGAGCTTGTCCACTTGTAACCTTTCAGGCCCTATTCATAATTCATTACTGAAGCTTAAGTCACTCTCAGTTATTCGTATTGAGAACAACGATTTGTCTACTCAAGTTCCAGAGTTCTTCTCGAAATTCCACAATTTGAATTCCTTACGAATCATGAATTCTGGATTATATGGTGCATTCCCAAAGAATATCTTCAAGGTGCCGACACTGCAGACTATTGACTTATCCGGTAATCCACAGCTTAAAGGTTCCTTACCAGAATTTCCAAAGAATGGCTCTCTTCGATCGCTGGTTCTCCATGGGGCAAATTTCTCAGGCCAGATGCTTCCGAACTCTATTGGGAACCTCAAATTGCTGTCCAAAATAGATATTGGAACTTGTAATTTCACTGGGTCAATCCCGAGATCAATGGAAGACCTTACACAGTTGGTTTATTTGGATTTGTCGGCTAACAATTTCAATGGTTCAGTTCCATCTTTCAGTATGGCCAAGAATCTGACCCTACTAGATCTTTCTTACAATCAGCTAACGGGTCAGATTAATTCCTCACGCTGGGAAAACCTGACTAGTCTGGTGAATCTTGACTTGCGACACAATCTACTTAATGGGACCATTCCACCATCTGTGTTTTCTCTTCCCATGCTGCAGATGCTACACCTTTCTGACAATGAATTTTCTGGTAAGTTGCCTGAATTTGGTGCTATAGCTGTACTGGACACACTTGATTTGAGTAGCAACAAGTTGGAAGGGCCAATTCCGAAGTCTATCTTGAAATTCCGAGGGCTTAAGATTCTTTTACTATCTTCAAACAACTTCACTGGCTCTTTTCTTCTGAATGATATTCAGCAGCTAAAAAATCTTTCGAGTCTTGATCTTTCATTCAATAGCTTGTCTATTAATTACAATGACACCAATTCCTCTCATTCTTCATTTCCAAATATCACCACATTGAAGTTAGTTGCTGGCAACTTGAGAAGAATCCCAAGTTTCTTGAGAAATCAATCAAAATTAAGCATTTTGGACCTATCACAAAACCAGATTCATGGTGAGATACCCAACTGGATTTGGAGGCTCAGTAATCTTCTTCAACTAAATCTTTCTTGCAACTCTCTGGTAACTGTAGAAGGTCCTTTCATCAATCTTAGTTCTACTTTGTCTCTGCTTGACCTTCACTCCAACCAGCTTCAGGGACAAATTCCAGGTCTTTCACGATTTGCCACTTATCTGGATTATTCAAGAAATAATTTCAGCTCAAGCATTCCGGCTAACATTGGTGATTTCGTCGTGTACACTATGTTCTTTTCTCTTTCAAGCAACAACATCAGTGGGGCCATTCCAGAATCAGTGTGCAACGCATCATTTCTCCAGGTTCTTGATTTTTCCAATAATTCTATAAGTGGCACAATTCCCCAGTGCTTGAGTGCAATAAGCACCCTTGCAGTACTTAATCTAAGGAGAAACAAATTCTCTGGAGCTGTTCCTGATAAATTTCCTCGGAGTTGTAGTGTAAAAACTCTAGACCTCAATGGCAATCACATAGCAGGTCCATTTCCAAAATCTCTAGCCAACTGCACAATGCTAGAGGTTGTAAACCTTGGAAGCAATCAGCTGACAGATATCTTTCCTCGCTTGTTGAAGAATATATCCTCCTTGCGTGTCCTTGTTTTGCGATCCAACCATTTTTATGGACAAATTGGATGTAACACGACCAGTGGCCCCTGGCCAAAGCTTCAAATTGTTGACATAGCTCGCAACAATTTTAGTGGTGAAATATCAGGAACATGTTTGATAACCTGGTCAGCAATGATGGCTGACGAACATGATGCCATGGCAAAGATTAATTACCTCCAAGTTGAAGTTCTGTATTCACCTCCATGTCTATATTATCAGGATGCTATAACAGTTACCACCAAAGGTCTAGAGATGGAATTGGTAAGGATCTTAACAGTCTTCACCTCAATTGACTTCTCCTGCAACAAATTCAATGGATCAATACCTGAGGAAGTGGGAGAGCTCAAATCCCTCCATGGCCTAAACTTGTCCAGTAATGCTTTCACAGGCACAATCCCATCATCACTAGGTAATCTACGACAACTCGAGTCCTTAGACCTTTCAAACAACAAATTGAGCGGACAAATTCCACAAGAGCTTGTTAAACTTAATTTCCTCTCGTTCCTGAATCTCTCAATAAATCAACTAGAGGGGAGGATTCCAACTGGCACTCAGATTCAATCTTTTTCAGCAGCTTCTTTCACATTCAACAAAGGATTGTGGGGGCCTCCTTTGACAGTTGATATCACCTCACAATTGCCACCACCACCACCACTAGAAAAAGGTCATTCTAATGCTCAACCTGAGATTGATTTTGATCTTATAAGTACTGAGATTGGATGTATCCTTGGCTTTGGAGCTGTCATTGGGCCACTCGTGTTCTGCAAGAGATGGCGGAAATGGTATTACAAAACTGTGGAGAACATCTTCTTTAAGGTATTTCCTCAGCTTGAAGAAAGATTCGGTCCTCACCGAAGACATGTTCACATAACTCAAGGGCCGAGACATTGAAATTATTATGAGGATTGAGGAGCAATGCAGCTAGCCTCCTTGTTATGATTGTGTTCTGTAAGAAATAAGATATTTTCTTCTGCTGTCACATAATTATAAATTACAAGATGTAGTGTGAGCTTGTTCTGTTACTTTTTTATATTTTGATGTTGCAAACTTTTTTAGTAAAATGTGGATTAGAGTTGCCCGCATTTCATTCTTGTTTTTGAATGCCAGGATTATCAATGTTTTCAAACCGTATTTCAATCATCTTTCCAGTACAGGAATCAGCATTGTTCGCTATAAGATCGACATATTAGCGATTAAATTTTCGGAGTATGGAATTTGACACATAAAACACAAACCAAAAACAGAATTAAACAAAACTGGAAATGCAAGGGACATTAAATCAACATAGTTTTACTTAAATCACGCTTCATTTGACTCTGTTTTCACTCGTTTGGCTTTGGTTCTTAGCTTTCTTTCTTTCGTGGTTTCTCCTCTTGTCGGTTTTCTTCTGTTTGTTATCATGAACGTTTACTCTGTTTTAGCTTTGATTTTTCCGGATGAAAACTTGGTAGTCTTTGATACAACCAACGTAAGGTCGCCACCGCATCAACACTAGCTAAGCGGGGAAATTTCTTCGTTTTTCGGTGACTTGCAGCATGTTGAATCTCCACTTCTTTGTAGATTACTGTGAGCCTTTGGCATCTATGAAGTGAGTTGAAGAGCTTTACATAATGCTATCTAAACTATTTAAGAAACAAAATTCTTGCACTATACGTGTATTCTCCTGTGTATCGGAATCAGTCTGTCTCCTCACGCGAGAGTTAGGAGGGGTGTACGTGCAAGTTTTAGCCCGGTTGTAGGGGCGAAATGTCACCCTCTCTTCGACGTCAACAAGTCAAGGAAGCAACAAGTCTCGTAGAAACCTTCTCCACAAAGTTCAACCCACCATTAACTTACCATCACCAAAGTTTTCCTTAGCCTCTCAAAGAGGAATACAATGATAAACAAGTCAATCCCTTAATGCAATCTCATTTGTCCACAATATCAGAGTCTCGATCCAACTATACACATTAATGCATGCGAATTAGTAGCCAATGAACAAGTAAAATTACGAAAATGAAAAAGAACTCTATGCATAAATGACTACGTACCGTTGATTTTTCATTTGTGACAACTGCTGAAGATATTCCTAATACCCTAAGCCTAAGCTCTGTACTACGTTTTCTGTCCCATATCAGTAAGAGCTTCCGATGAAAACTCCTCCGCTTTCTGATGCTCATTTCCTACGCCTCACTCAGCTTCCATACATTTGTGGTCTCTAGGCAATGTCATCCCAGCGATCAACAATCATTGTTGTTGCAATTGAACAACAGCCTCGAATTTGACCCTATACAATCTAAAAAAATTGTGCAGTGGAATAATGGCTCAGATTACCGTTCTTGGGAAGGTGTCTCCTGCAAAGATGGTTGTGTTTCTCATCTTGACTTAAGCAGCGAGTCAATTTTAGGTGCACATATCAAGTGCTCTTTTCCATCTGCAGTACATCGAGGACCTAAATTTGGCTTACAATGACTTCAACTACACTCAGATTCCATCCGAGTTTGGGCAGCTAACTGGTTTGAGTAGTCTGAACTTGATGAATGCTGGCTTCACAGGGAAGGTTCCGATTGAGATTTTGTACTTCACAAGGTTGGTAACTCTTGATTTGCAAGAGAAGATCTTCCAGGTACCTACACTGCAGACTATTGATTTATCCATTATGCTTGGCTTGATCAAAGGTCAATAGCCATTATGCTTGGCTTGATCAAAGCCCTAGCTTTTCTGGTTTCAAATTTCCAATACCTAGCATATAAGAAGCCTTCTGATCAAATCGACGAGCTGATCTTGTTCTTAGTAAGATACTAGTAAGAGATGCCCACGCGATGCTGTGGGATTGAACTGTATGGAATTTTGTGTATAGCACTATTTACATACAAAAATACTTGATCTGTATGTACATACTATTTTACGTGCAAAAGATTTGGTAGATAATCCTATTTACATACAAAAGAGAATGCTAGATGCATATGTATATAATATTTACATACAAAAGATTTACGAAATTGTCCTATTTATGTACAAAAGATGGTTGAAAGATTATGAATAGATGTTTATGGATATGCCAAATGGTACAGCAGGAGTTGTTCATTCTTATTCATCCGGTTGTTGAGGTGCCTTTTTTTGTCTATGTAACCTTTTCTACCAAGTTGTTCAAATATAGACACAGCGTTTTCAATCAAGAGATCAGAACCAGTACTGTAAGGTGCCTAAAGACAGACTGCCCAAAAATTTATGTTTTGCATTTTGGTTTTAGAAAAATGAGATAGAATTTAAAACCAAAGAGAAAAAGAAAGTATGGAAATCTAATGGACTGTTAAAATTTGAAAAGTGTTGATACAAATTTGAAAAAATGGCAACTGTTAAAATAAAGCAGCAAAATGAATATTTCAAATGGACTGGAAGTTAAAAAAGGAACTGTTCATTTATCAGTCAGATTAATATAGGCATGTGATATGAAAGATTGGAGGATCTATATAGATGGTCGAAATTGTAGAAAGCGAACTAAAATGTTAACAGAATTTTTTGTTCTGAATTGAACTCCCTATTTTTTTGGTAGATTATTTCATCAACTAATTAGGAGGTATCAGTTAAACCATTCATAAAGGAATAGCATTGAGTAGTTGAAAAATGTATGGGTTAAGCATGTGACATATGAAGGATATGCAGCAAAATTCATCACTATTCATTGATGAAAAAATTAACATCCTCATAGATGCATACCAAGCAACTGAAATGAAGAATCTGAATTGAATAAAGTACTGCATCATTTCCAATTGACTATGATAAAGAAATCTAGTGAACTATTTGAGTTTTAAGCGAAAGGGATAAAAAGATTACGTTTAATAGATAGTTAATAATTCAAAAAATATAGAACAGTGAAAGGGTATACATACTCTGTTTTGCAGCCATAAATATGGTTTCAGAAATGCTTGGGGAATCTGATACATTTCTGGCGGGAGCCTTTGGAGTAAGAGTTGTGTCTGATATTTCATTTGCTGCAACATCACTAATAAAAAAGTAAACAGAGGAAAATAAAAGTGTTATCAAACATTAAGTAGTGTGGAATTTCGAACAATGAAAAACCATGAACTTGATATGAACATTTGTGAGATGAATAAATTTGAGATGAAGATATATATATATATATATATATATATATATATACCGTATTTTGGGACACGTAAAAATGATTTCGGAATTGTTTGGGGTTGCTTTGGTTTTCGGAGAGATGATAGGGGCACCGTCAAAATTTGAGTCAAAAGCTGACACGTTTTCTATGGAGCTTTTGTGTCATCACTAAGGTGTAAAAAAGAGGACAATTAAAGACATTAGTGAACACTGAAAATGTGAAGATTAAAATTGAAGGCATTAGATAGATGTAAAATACACTCGCTTTTATACGTAAGCAATAATGTCAACATGACACTATAGATGTAAAAAATAATAATAATAATAATAATAATAATAATAATAATAATAATGTCAAAACCCACTTCCATGTCAGGTCATAATTTTACAACCACCAAAAAGTACAGGAAGGGCAATGCCATGATCTCTAGGAAATGATAATCGCATTTTTTTCTGAAATTGCTCACCTTCCTTAATCTTTTCTAAAGAAGCAATGATTCGCATAATGTAACCAAATCAGAAAATAACAGATGATTACCCAAAACCCATATCAGGTAAACTAATCCCAATAAAAGTAAAAGACTGATGCATTCAAATTTCAAAGAGCAAACAAAATTAATAATAATAAAAATGAGAATTGAAAGCTCACAGATCTTGAGATTGAACCTGTCCTTCCTTTTGGATCTCTCGTTATAAATAATGCGTCAACACAGTGAATACAATCTTTTCACTTGCACTCTCTGCATATCCTCAATAACTAAAAAGCAGCCGAAGCACAACATAATACTGAGCATTAAATCTAAACCCAACTAAGGAGATCAGGTAATCTGCTCAAACATACCAACTTAGGGTCCTTGGGCCACTTTTACTTTGCAAATAGACGACCTTCCGTCCTTGCATTTGACAAAAATTTCCATGTCTCATAGTTTTCCCTAAAATTGGCAGCCAATAAAGTGATATAAGTAGAGGAGAATCAAGCAATGGAAACTCTACCCATACGCATATAACACATGTTTAACTGACCTCAGGTCCATAGAAAGGATGTCATGGTGCACAACGTCATAAAGATCTTGAACAGCCTTAACTGTACCTTTCTCCAGTTCAGGCGTTTCCCCTTCTTTCTGTGCATTATATAAAACGAAGCAAAAAATTTGAGAAAAAAGAAATCGATATATCAGAACAAAGCACAAACAAATAACTATATGACAATATCAATTTTATGTAATTAGAAGAAAAGAAAACTCTGAAATATAATTTAATGTGGAATACAAGTTTTTATCTAAATCATAATCATATGAACTTTTTCTAACTATGAAATCCACACTTTTGCTAAATCCGTTAGGATCATTAGAACGCATGTAGATTTTTATCTCCATTTAAAAAATAAAAAATAAAAAAATAAAAACCATTGCTAACATCTTTAACGGTAGCCTACCTGGTTTTCTGACATGCTTAGTACCATGTCTAAATATGTTAGATGAATTCGCTTAAAATCATAGAGAAGAGGTAAATTTGTGAATGTTTAAAAGACGCTACGAATTAGTCTAATTCCCTCGAATTGAAGAGATCTCGTAGTTCATTTTTAAGCATTCACAAATCTCACATTTTTCTCTGATATTTGAAGAATTTCACTCAAAATTTTACATGAAAATATCTAGAAATTAAACTCCATCAAAATCTATAAATTTAGACAAACCAATCAAGACTTCAAAATCAATATTAACCCATAAAAGCAATCTCACAATTCCACAATGTCATGGATAAATCCAATTATATCATTAGTATCCTCTCATGTGACAAATTTCACTTGCTTTGTAATACCTTAGAGGCTATTGTAAATTTGTGATTAGGGGTTGGTCAAGGGACTTACCTACACTCTTATTTGATCTTTTTACTTGATTTTACTGAATTATTCAATTCAATGATGGAAAATTTTAAAAAAGATAGTGATAGTATAATTAAAAATAATATATTTGTAAAGAGTAAGTTGAGTGTAATAAAAGATTATATGAGTTCAAATAAAAATGCATATGTCTAGGCAGTGGCGGATCCAGACTTTTGATATTGGGTGGTCCCAATATTGGAGTTAAACAATTCAGTCAGATTGGAAACATCCGAAATTAGAGTTGAACTATTCGGAATAACATTGTCCAAACTAATCGATAATAATTTTCGCGTGTTATACCGTTTATACTTCTAATTTATACACATCAATTATTAAACAAAACATTATATCAGTTAATTAAACTAAAGTGTGTCTATATATAAACTAACCAACACATGATCAAATTAATATCAAAACAACATCAATTACAATCTATGATTATTATAATATATTAGGGATCTAAAATTTTCCTTCAATACACATCAATTTTCATATCATTTTATATAATTAATCTGGATTACGACTAAAAAATTTGTTTAAACTTAGAAATTAGGACATTATAAAAAAAGAAGGAGAAATTAAGAAATTAGGTGGTGGTGGAGAGGAGAGAAGCGGAGCAGGTGATGGTGGCTTGGTCGGTGGAAGGAAAAAGGGATTTGGAATAGAAGGAAAAAGCGCATTGGGCTTATTGGGCATTGGGCATTGGGCATTAGGGGGTCCGTAAAGAAAATGGGAGGGGATTATACTTAAAAGAGAGAATCACGTGGCTATTAAAAAAAAGGGCACGTGTTTTTTTAAATGCATTGGATCCAAACAAGTCGTTTAGGCCCATTCGCTTAAAAGGAGAATAGTTTCTTCTTTATTATCCATCTGCTGCAGCACAACGGGCAACCGCTGCTAATACCTCTCCTCCACCATGTTCGGGTGGTCCTCGAAGGTCATTTCAGCTACTTCTTTGGACCTTCGGAGGGTCCTGGGACCACCAATGTCCCTGAATGGATCCACCTTTGTGTCTAGGAGATAAAAGGGGTGTGTAATTATCCTTTTCATATTCACTTATCACTATAAAAAGAAAATGAAAATGAAAAAAAAAAAAAAAAAAAAAAAAAAAAAAAAGAGAAAAAGACCAAGACTTTGAAGTTTGGCTTAAAGCTGTGTTCTGCTTTAAAATTCTGGTTTTGGGACTAAGCAAGTGCATGATGGAATGCAAATATCTATAAAATGAATATCCATCAATTTACACAGAAGCTTCATAACAATATGATCCGAAACTACATGGAAAGCTTTAGATTATTTATTGGGAACCCGAAGAGCACGGACTAGTGTGAATGTGACTTGTCATCTACGCTCGTCTTCCACTTGGCCATGCTTGTGTTTGTAGGGGTGAAATTTCTCGCTTTCTTCCCCACTTCCTTCTTTGTGTACCTTAAATCAATAGCCCTAGTCCCGCTAGAAAATGTGGAAAGATTTCAAAGTCAACAACGCACAAGTCGTTTGGAGCTGTAGCTATCTATCTGCAATTTTCAGTCTCAAACAGAAGAGAAATAGAGACAATAAAGATTGTAACAGCTGCAGGGCACAATGGGGCCTGATACCTTGAAAAGAAAATTAAAAATAGGAACGTCTTCCTTTTTGGTATAGAAAAGCTAATGCTTTGTTCCAATTGATTGACTAGTTAAATGAAATCATCACAACTCATCTAAACAGCAATAGGTTTTGTTTTGGGATGGTAACGGTTCGGTTTGGCCGACGAAAATGCTACATCTATCTCCATAACTACAAAAATTAATTATATCCATAATCGCAAATTAACCATCGAGAATTATCCATAACCATACCTATCGGGTAGAGAATTTCCTATCGATTAACAGTTATATCCATCTTCGTCAATATCAAAATATATTCGTTTTTTTTTTCCATAAAAAATATGATATAATATATATACATTGATGATATTGGCTAATATATATATATATATATATATATATATGGGGAATCCTTTAATAAGAGGGATCCCCTTTTTTCTTTTTCTTTTTTAAATGAGGACACCCTCTTGACCGTCAGATTGACTTTTAATGAAATTGTGTGGTTGAGATTGTGTGACCTGTGATTTAATATCAACCACACAATTTCATTAAAGTTAATCTAACGGTTAAGAGGGTGTCCCTATTTTTTTAGAAAAATAGGGATCCCTCTTGTTAAATGTTCTGTCTATATATATATGATAGAATACAATATATTTTATACAAATTATATTATATATGTAATATGTATTATTCGGGACGGATTTAGGGATGGATATGGATCGACAACCACTATAATCATATCCGAAGCAATAACTAAATAATATTTTCCGTTTTTCCCCATATCCGAAATATAACCGAATTTTCATTCTCAAATTCGTTCCATTCGGACGGTTATCTACGATTATCCAGTTTAATGGTTTGAACTGCCATCCCTAGTTTTGTGCGACTATAGGCTCAAACTAGTTTTCATCACTAACAGATGTTTAGAAACAAGAGACTCTATATTATCAATTGGCTTTATGGTAGAATCATAACATTTCATGGTATCAAAGCAAATTGTCACATGTTTGAAACCCAACTGCCACATGTGCTTCACGTCACATGATTTGTGTTGTCCACATGTTAAGTTGGAGAACTCACCACACGTGAAGGGTGCATTGATAGTATGAATCACTTGGAGGACACAAATCGGTTGATTTGGATCATGTTGGCTGTTGAGCTTCGCACGTAGAATAATTTGTTCTGATACCATAAAGAAAATTAAAGTTCTACCATAAAATCAATTGATAATATGAAGAGTAACCCAATTACTTATAACATATACAAGATCTTTTATTTTTTCAATGTAAAATTCATACCCTCAACAAAATCCATGCGTACACACAATGCAATGCTGGCCCTGCCCCCACTCTCCTTTCTCTAGTCCGTACATTTTCTGGTTAATGCAGAGAGGAGAAGAGAAGAAAAGACTTGATAAGTCAAGCCAACCACACATTTCAGAATTTCCAATTCCATAAAATCATTAATATTAATGAAATCTCAACAAAATTTTCCTCTTTTTTTTCACTTTCCCTGAACTTCTCGCAAAGACTATAATATCCAAAAATGAAAACTTAGCTCCGATTTTTCGTCTTTCTTGATTGCTGAGTTAGCCCGGCTGCCACGTTGTTAATGCCAATATCCAACTTGACAGCAAGTATCACCAAGACTTCAGGAAGAATAAATGGTTCAAAATCATTGAAATTCAACGTGAAATAAACCC